ACATGAGGTCGAGGCCACGCGTGGTAAGTTCACAAACAAAATGGCGACTAGTAGCGATAGCGTTGAACTCGAATTTTGGCACAAAAATATAACAAAAATACCCAAAGTTACAAACTCTTTTGTTGAGGATTTTGCTGAGAAGAACCTACCGATCAAAGCCACTGTAACAAGAGGATATAAATTCTTTCACGAAGAATATATTCACGATATTGAAGGTGAGCCTCGTTGACCTCGTGGTAGCTTTCTTTGTTTGACTGTCTTTCCAATATTTTGTTTCTGTGCTCAGTGTTTTGAGTTTTAACTCTTTTTTCTCGGTTTTTAACAGTAAAACTTTGCAAGGAAGAGGATTCAGGAGTAGTGGCTCGGGCTAAATGCTTCAGAAGTATGAAAAAGAACGAAGATCCTCACAAGTTGTCTGTTGTGTTCGAGAGCTCCTCTATTGAGGCTAGCATCAACAAGTATATGTGTAGTTGTGCTGCTGGACAAGGTCTTTGCCATCATGTTCTTGGATTGCTCTATACTCTTGCCCATTTCCAGCTATTAGGCTTAAAAAGTGTCCCGCCAATGGTTTCTAAAACATCAAAGGCACAGGTAAAATTTAATAATAATAATAATAGATTTGATGATAAACAATAAGAAAAAACAGTCATTAATGTATAGAGATTTGACTGTATCTTACCAATATTTTTCCTTAAAAACTCCTTTTAATCACACTGCTGTTTTTAAACATAACACAATAAGCAATTTTGAATTCATATAGTATATTTGTATATTATTTTTTTGCAGAGATGGCATATCCCCAGTCGTAAAGAGGGCATTAAAGCAAGGCCAGTGACAGATTTGATTATACAAAAGTCAAAGCCAAAAGATAAATTGCATGAACCTAAAAAGAAGAGAAAGGTGTGTGGTGTGGCAAGCACGATCTACAAACCCTTCCAGCAATCATTAAGTAGCCTTGACTTGACTAGTGTGCTGTCGCCACAGTTTGAAAATCTCAACAATCAACCTGGATTTATGAGAATATGGGAAGATGAACAAAGTGAGCCTCCAATTTTAGTAGACTCGGCCTTTGGAAAGGTGCCAAAAGGCTGTGTCATAAGCTATCAACAGCCATTGAAAGTTAAGAGCAATATTAACATACAGCTACCTGCATTCAACTTTCCATCTTTAAGCTATCCAGATACAGTGCTCAATGAAAAACAAGACCTTTTCTTCAGCTCCCTTGCAATATCAGGTCAACAGTCTATTGACTTTGAAATGG